GCCTTTTTGGTTTGAGGGAGAGGAGACGAAAGGAAGCTTCTCTATTTGTATAATAAAAAATTGGAGGGGAAATGAGGGGAAGTGAGGGGAAGTGAGGGGTTTTTTCTTCTTCTTTTATTATTATTATTATTATTATTATTTTGCATTTTAGTCTAATCAAAGTGAAGGGGGATTTTGTTTCCCTTAAACCAAATATAAGATAAATGTATAGATTCTTCTATTTTAAAATTCCTTGGATTGCCTTTTTTTATTCATTATTTGGGAAATTTAGTAAAAAAAATGACAAGATTTATGAGAATTCTTATTTTTAAGATTCTAAATGACTTTCTCTTATTATTTATAAAACTATTAAATTTTAGTCAATATTTCTTATTTAGTTTAATTTATCTAATAGACAACTTGGTATGTTTTGCTAGTATAAACTTCTTTTATATTTTATTAAACATTAATAGTAAGGGGGTTGCTTTTCTCAAACCTATTGGCAGAGGAGGGATCTTCAAAGATCGTAATGACAATTAGATTATGGGGTTTGTCATGAATATAGGCATTAGTAATAGAGTAAGTGTTAAGCTTCCTAGAGGATAACTAATAAAGTAAGTGTTAAGCTTTATAGAGGATAACCTCCAACTTTATTGTTGCCAAGGGATTTTTTAAAATTATCATTGAGTTCAACTTTATTTATGCTATTCATTTATTGTTTATCAATGTCGCTAACATTTTGAATTGCAAAGAATTCATCAGGAATTTTGTTATAGCTCAACATTTTAATATGTCGATATGGATAGCCATATATGTACTAATCAACTTCTTAAGATGTGATCATCACTTTCTTTAAGTTTTGTTGTTTTCTATAAAAGTTCATCTCTTGTGATTACATTTTATTTTGTTAATATACTAGGGGTCCACTTTCTTGAACCACCCTAATAAACTCTCTTTTGTTGTACTAATATAATTTTATTATTTTTCTTCTCAATAAAGAAGAAGAAGAAGAAGAAACCTTCTTCTTTTTCAAGACATTAATATTTCTCATTTTTATTTCAAATATTTAATTAATAGTATGTTTGGGTTGAGGAAAGAGAAATATTTTTTTTACTGATCATATTGCAATATTTAAAAGAAATTATAATTTGATTAGTTAAAAAATCTCTCTCTCCTCTCCTGAAACAACTCGAGTTAGAATTTGCTACTGACCTAACAACTCTTTAGGTTAAAATCCACAAGCCCTCCAAATCTCAAGTTATTAATATTGATTGGTTTCCACAATTATATATTAAATTTACTCACAAGTCCCCACCAATGTAGGATTCGGGATGTTGCACCTTCATTTTCCTCAATCCAAATATATTATAAGTTTTTCCTTTTCTTTATTTTTGATATTATAGAAATCCTTTTATTTGTGTAAAAATGTAAATGATGCTCTAAATTAATATGTGAAAACAAATTTGAGCACAGATAAAAAGTTTTTTTCATAATTTTTTACTAGAAAACATTGATATATATTAAAAAATTACACAAATATATTTAACATTTACTTTTAATTTATACTTGATTTTTAAAAATAAATAATATCTTATTAAAAATAAAATTCATAAAAATTAAAAATATAAGTTAATTAATTGTATGTCCCATGCAAGGGCACGCGTACCATCTAGTATTAGAATATGATTGAACAACGCAGCAATGTTTTGACTCAAAAAGACCAGAAAACCAATTTCAATAAAGTGAATTCTGCAATAACATGTAGGGGAAAAAGAGAAAAATCGCTTTGGATTGATACACTTAGACATTAAATACCCATTTCACCCCTTATTGAAAGTAAAGAGAAGAGCCATGTTCAAGGATTAAAAAGGAAACTAAGTAAATATTTTTGTGAAAAGCCCAAAAAGGCCAGAGTATAAGGGAAGGGAGAATGGGAGAACCAAGGGAAAATATGGAAAAGAATACTTGTGAGAGGGAGAAAAGTTAGAGTTTTTGTTCATTTTGTGAGAGGGGATCTTCCTCCTGTTAATTATTTAGATAAAAGAGTGAGCCCTGCATGGGTTAGAGTACAATTTATCAAAAGTAATATTGTCATGTCCCAGAACTAGGAGCAAAATAGATACTGTACACTTGTGAGAAGATACCACAAATGCACAAGGCCCACAACTTGCTAAGTTCATAACTAACAATCCACATAAACTTAGATCAATATCTCAGATAAAATATAGTTTACAAGGATGATATATATCTCAAAATCTATGTCCAAAATATAAATGGTTAGCTTTCTAACCCGTCACTCCCTTTGGTTTCCCCCATCTCGGGTCTCACTATCTGAAATGGTGGATAAGGAAAAACTATGTGAGATAACTCAGTAAGTAAAAATATGGATAGCCCTTAATTAAAGTTATAGCATGCCAACAAGTGTAATCAAATATCAAGAAAAACAGCACAAGTATGGGAATAAAATAGACGTCTCCTCTATAGGTTATGGCCAATGTTTATAAACCTCCCACCGGCGGGCATAGTAATTACCAGTGTACTATTCCACTGGTAGGAATAATAAGACAAACTGGTTCCAAGAATACATGTCGACATGTGCTAGCGTTTATAAACCTCCCACTAGTGAGCACAGTAAAACATGACCATATTGGAGACTAAACCATGTAGGAATTTCAGGAAAATCCATAATTTATAAACTAATTTCAAGTTATCAGAACAGTTTAGTAAGCTCCCAGTAGACATGCTCAAATCAATAAATGATAACAACTTTATTTTAAACCAATCATACTCGTTTTTGTGTAAAATGGGTTTAGTTCCGCCACCACTTCAAAAAAAAAATTCAAAATTATGTTTTTAAAACCTTTACCTTAAAATCCAATGTATACAACAAGCAAAGAATTCACATCTCAAGGTAGTGACGGCGGTTTAGAACCTATACTATATCAAATGAATACTTAGAATAGGCTTAAAATAGCCCCAAATGTCACACTAAATAGTAGATATTCCAAACAGATTTTCTGAACAGAATAAGATGGAAAAATAGGAGAAACTGAGCTCAAAACCATCCTAAACACCAGCAAAAATATTGGGCAACAAAGTGGGGTTTTCTACTATTGAAAGAGTCCCAAAATGTCTAGAAAAAAAACACCTAGAATAGCATGGATTTATGGGAAAAAAGACAGCAGCAAAACATGGTGGAATACAAACTAAAACTAGGTAGAAATGGACAGTATTTAAGAAGAAAAGCAACAGCAAAAAGGTAGTTAAAATAAAGTAATAACAAGGGGTTTTAGAGCAGGAAAACAATAGCT